GCTTTTATGTCTGCACTCTGATAATTCCCGCGGATAAAGAGGTGCCAAATTCTTTCGAATAGAAACGAGAATTGGATGAGGACGAAGAAAATGCCGATGAAAATCACTGTAGTTAATATTCGAACCACATTCCCACGAGCTCAACAATGTTCCGCACCAAAATGCATGCCTGCGTTTCGTCAATTGCTGTGTCGTATTGGGAATGCATGGGACGATGTGCTGGCTCATTTATGAAGTGCATAGATCACCGAGAAGACTCATCCTGATTACAGGTATGAAATTCATTCCTTACGATGGCGCTAATGGAGGACACTACGATTATCTTTGGGCTCAGCCTTAGCAGAGTGCAGATAATCGTAGTGTTCTCCATTAGCGCCAGCGCCAAGAATGAATGTCATATTCGTAATCAGGATGTCAAATTATCCCCGCCCCCTCAAACAAAGTTTTCAGCGGATTTGGCGATCTGGCGAGCGGCCTTCATAACTGAGCCAGCAGCCAAAAGAGCGCGTTCAAACGGCATCAGTCGACGATACCGTAGGTGAGGGAGCCATACTACCTTCTGGAAAGATTACTAACAGTCTAACACCTGTTTCATATAATTTGGTACGTCTGTCTGTTGCTCTACCTGAAGAGCCACTTGTACAGCTAGAGTCAAGTGTCGCACCTACTGTAAAGGGTCAGATCCAAAATGTGATATAGAGGGTGGGACGGGAACGGTATTGGTGGGTGATAGAACGTTATCACAGCTGATAAGGTCGATAAGAGGCTATAGAAAAGGGGAAAAAACTAAATTCACAGCGACGGTCGCAGCACAGGGTATAGCATCGTTGTCCGGAAACACATAGGGAGGAGAGTCGTACTTGTTCTCTGGGTGAGGAGATCGTACTTGGTCGTTGGGAGTGGTTGGGAGTGAGGGGAGGGGGGTGTGCCTATGAGAAAAATTTGTCGCGTTGTTTTTGTTTTGGGTTTGCTGGATTTTGCGTGATTTTTCCTGTTTCATGTGCACCACTCTCCCCCTCGACGGAAAATTTTTGGGTGGAAAAAAAACTGGAAAATGCGGGAATTTGTAGGTAGGTGCTTGGGGGTAGGGGAGGGGGGGGGCGTACCGAGACCCCATTTGGGTGGGGGGGGGGCTCGTACTGGCAACCTCTTTCGGAGATCGTACCTACACCACCACCTCACACATCAGGATGCTATACCCTATCGCAGCATCAGCAAGGCGTTGGTCACCATTTGTCACTGCACGATACACCGCGAGCGACGACACGACAGATAGTGGTTCTCCTGTCCGCTCCTGAGGAATTTTTGGGTGCGAACGAAACATCTCGGTTGCCGCGGTGGACGGTGCTGCAAACAGTGTAGCGTGTACGGCATTCGCACCAGGACACGACTGATTTGAATGAAAATCACCACTTCGAGACTTTCTCTAAAACGACTCCCCTGACCTGGCGAGTAAATACGACCCTTTGATGGGTACGTACGCTGCTGGGAAGGGAAGGAGATGAATATCCTGGACGCGTTCATACTATCCGAGCATGTTCACACTTCGCGATTCGACCGTCTAATCGCGCAGTGGTATCGCATATGCCACTATATCGAATGGGGAAATTCGAATTGGGCCGTCTTCATACAGTGCGTAAACGCAGCCCAACCACATTTTCCGTTGAGGCAGTGGAGCGCCTCTGGTCGCGGTCGCGCGATTCAGTCGTTCAGCCGATCCCATCGCGCGATTCAAGCGATCGGACTGCGAAGTATGAACGCACCCTGTTAGAGCGGAGTATTTACATTTGGTCGCGCCATTCCCGTGCCCTTCCGTTCAAACACACAGGCGTCAGAAAGGTATGAGGCCGTCAACGAGAATGTTATTGTGCCAAATCAGAGCAGATCATTGGTTGGGGATTTCGGTCGAATCCATACGTCCCCCCCCCTTTTTTTTAAGGGATTGGTACCACCCCCCCCTTGGTTTTCTTACATCTGGAACTGTCCACCGGGGAGGGGGGGGGAGGGAAAGAAGTGCATTGTGCATTGTGCACATGAAACGGGAGAAGTCAGGAAGTTTTTCTGCACTCCAAAATTTTGCTGTCAGAACCCGGAGCGTGAGATCAGAAAAACCAGCTATCAAAAGAAATTTTCTCAGCCCAAATACGACCTCTCCCCTCTTCCAGCAACCAAATACGACCCTTTCTATGGGGAATCCAACATTAGTGTGCCCTGGGTCAAACGCGATGATTCCACTTGCTATTGCGCTCACGACTTGAAACTCAAGCGCAGAACTTGTAAAACATTTTATGCGAACTGGGTGATTTCCTTCACGGTAGAAGAAGGCCGGAGACCTAATTTTTTTTCGGAGGATTTCACGAGATTTTTACTGTCACAGTGATAGTGACGCCTGTTTTAATGGGGTAGCTCTGCATCACAAAACTCATCGAGCTATTGTAATAAATCGATTTTTGACAGATGGCATAATATTCAGTCGCTTTCTCCTTCTTCTTCTTCTTCTTTGCGCTCCTCTTTATGGGAGTCGAGGGCTGCCGGTGAGAAAGCGTTCGGCAGCAGGTCCACAACACTTGATACGTTTACCCGGTCATTTTTGGAAGATCCCATAAGGACCTAAAAGAGAAGCAGGTAGGACGAAAGCCAAGTAGTCTACTGTTTACGAGGGCGATTTACCCTGCAATCGCCAAATTCTATCAAAATTGCCTGCACCACATTCCGCACGGGACTGCCAGGTTCTTCGAGTTCGGTAACTGAAAAAGGCAGATCTCAGAGGAAAATTGGAATTGATAGGACTCCGGTTGGAACCTCTGGGGGCTAACGTAGTTTTTTTTCTGGAGGTGCGCTGGCAGTGATCGTATCTGTCTTTCCCTCAAAACTTCGCCTTGGCCATCACGGGCGTTTGCGCTCTAAACCTGAGCTTTTGTGGTAGGCAAGGGACACAGAGGCGAGGCACAGTGGTCTCTCCTCCTCCCTCTCCCCTCCCCGCCTATCAACTACATCAGCGTGTTGGTACTATGTGTGGTGCCGCTCTCCGACAAGGTCAGGTCACGTCACGTTTTATCGTCTGCACCTTCACACCGAGAGAGCGTGACGAACCTTACATGGCTTAATTGACGTGAAAGTGAAACCACCTACCAACAGCTATAGCTTTGAACTTGCGATATCCTTTAGAAACTGCTGAAAGGATGGCGCTTCGTTCAGCACAGATTGTGCCACCGTACGATGCGTTCTCACAATTGACTGCAAATTACCGAGCTTAAAGACACAGTTCACGCTGATTCCATACGTTGAAACAGGAGTACATCTCAGTTGTGCGTCCTCCAGTGTTGATTCCACACAGGTACGCAGGGCGCTCTTTGGCGACCGGGGGGGGGGACATTTTGCACTTCCCACCGTGTCGACCCATCTAGACAGCCTCTTCTCGAATTGACAGGTTCTACCATGATGGCTTGATAAGCTTGCTCCAGCTTCGCATGAGTTCACAGGTTTCACCAGAGTGAGAAAGCAGTGAACAAGAAGCAGTGAAGCAACGGGAGTGTAAAATCCCCCCCCCGCCCCGTGGGTATAGTACAGTCATGATCACTGCAAACGATAGGGCGTATGACGAGGGTGTGGCTTGGTTTCCGAGCAATTGAGCAGACTCAGTGTGGCATTGGTGAGAAAAGCCCCCCCCCTGGCCACAGTTCAATAAGCGCCGCGTCACACGCCCTATGGTTTGCAGGGATCATTATTGTACGTTGCCTGTTACGATGTAAATGACGTACCATTGACGTCACATGGGACTGTAATGACGGGTCTCGATACGTCATTGACAATGATGCGATACAGCACCCCTGGTCGATAAAGGGTTGGGCCGCGTTCATACTTCGCGACGCGTACTTCCCAATTCGCGCGACAGTGGGCGACCGCGCGTCACTGCTAGCCGCTGGATAGCTGAAACGGTCTGACAAAGTTCTTTTCGAATGAGAGTGAATTAGCAGTTGCAGCCCGGGCACATCATCAGTTGAGGATTTTGGTCGAGTCCACACGACTCACCCACCCCCCCCCCCCACCGCCTTGTTCCATCTTCATCGAGCTGTCGAGCGAGAGGGGAAATACAACGCACATTTCTACCATTTCTTAGATTTTCCCGAACTTCCCTACCACTTTTTCCTGAATTCCCCGAAAATTTTCCTACAATTACTCGAAAATCTGTCGCCGAGCGGAATAGGGGGGAGGGAGGAACAAGGTACACATGAAACAGGAAAAACCACGAAAAGTCAGAACCATCAGTTAAGGAGGGAAATACGACCCCCCCCGTTTTTTACAACGTACCTGAAAAAAGAAAAATCACAAAAAAATTTTCTCAGCCCAAGTACGACCCCCCCCCTCCCCCTGCTGAGAATATCCAACAACAATGTGCCCTGGCTGCAGTAGTTCAGCAGAGGTCCCAGATATTAGGCAGCGTTGAGACTTCGCGACGGCAGCGCCTCGGTCGCGCGTCCTGCGCGATCGCGCCGAACGCGCTGTCGCCGCGAGGTCTGAACGCTGCCTTAGCAGTAGAGCACATTCGGTTGCAGTCGCGCGATTGGAGAAACGCTGGAGTCGAGAAGTATGAACCTTAGGTGGAATGTAATCTCCTAACTGGTAACGGTTTTATGCTGCACCTGCTCCTCTCCTGTTCAACTCTGCGGGAGGAAGGGCGGATCAGTGGAATGGGAAACAGACCGGGATTCAGCTGGAAGGTGTGGAGGGGGGTAGCAAAAGAGTCTGCGTCCACGCGCGGTCATATGCTAAGAATGTTCCATAGTGAACGAGTTCGATTTCCGCGTCAGTGAAGGATCACGTGAGGAATGAATGACACACCTCCGAGCTATTTCCCCTTATCAATAGATGGACATCTTTTTTGTACTGCACCGCAGACCTATGCTACAGTCGGTTTCGCTGCAGGCGATGGGACGTGTCAGAGGGGCCAGGGGTGGATTCAGCGCAATGCTAGCAAGCTTCGTGCTTGACACCGGTCAATTGTAACACACCTGGCCCGCTCAATATTTGGATGTTGAAAGGGACTGGCGCCGTGTGAAACCATGCCCGCCCCCGACACCCCTCAGTACTCCAGCAAAAACTACTGTACATCAGCGCGAAAGAAGCAGTAGTGATTGATATAAAAACGATACAGTTACCTCCAACAACTACTTTGTCATCAGAAGTCAAAATAGCAGCACCAACCGGAAATTTGCTATATGGACTGTAATTGGGAAGTCATGAGTGCCGAAAGCTTTGGCAGGAACTGAATTATCCAAAGAGCTCACCAATAAGCATGTTCCATTGCCTCCCTGGCCTTGGCTATAAGCTCTTCGTCACTGACCCCCATACGCAGAACTGATTATTGCTTTGGAAAGTCCTTCTTTGGCGTGTGTAAGGTGGTGGAAGTACCACTTCTTCAGTTGTAAGCAGATCTGAGTAGGTTACAGAAAGTGCAAAGAACTCAGCAACAGGAGCTGAGAACAACAGCCGGCAAATGAAAATGAACATTACCCGTAAAGACGAAAGTTCAGGGATTACATATCAAGGAGAAAGATCATGTTGAAATAGGAGAACACAGCACAGATTGAATATTGATTAGCCATTTTTGAATTCAACAATGAACCGATGGTGAATAGCAGGTACTCGCTCACATTCACTCATAATCAACGACTCTTCGATGAACACGTGCTCCTGAAGTTAGGCAGCGTTCAGACTTCGCGAAGGCAGCACTTCAGTCGCGCGTTCGACGCGACGCTATGGAAAGCATGCGCATCGATCGAGCCGAACGCGCGGCCGAAGCGCTGCCGACGCGAAGTCTGAACGCTGCCTTACACCAACTGAACCCAGTAGTAGCGCAACTGCACCCAGGGCTTTTGATTCCTCGTGGTAGGAGGATACCACTTCTACTACTTTAGAGTTAAGGTGCCAAGGGTATGACGAAAGCATGTCACTGTGCTGATGGATTTGTGACAAATCGTAACACGCCTCCACCCTCACACCACTCTCGTCATGTTGCCCTGAGCAGTGTCCAATTTTGTGAATCTCGCGTGTTATTCCGTCGCGCGGCTATTTTGCGCGACTGCCGACGAGAACAAACGCTACGCGCCTGTCATGGGGTATGTGACAAGACAGCGTGATTCGCCGCGCTAGGTAGCCTTGCCAGCGATGCCGCATGCGGAAACTGGATAGTTCCGGGGCACATATACGATGTACTAAGCCAACGATTTCTTTGTATCAGAGGCCCCGAACAGGAGAGATCATAAGTTGAGGTTACTTCCTTTCTTGTAGAGACATCTCATGTGAGACATCTCACTTTTGTTGCCGCGCCCATCGCCGCGCGAGACGAAACGGCGATTTCGATTGTCGTGACCTTTACCTCATGTCTCACCGTCC